GGGGGGGTTCTTCCTGTACTCCTAACTGGCCTAGAACTCACTATGTAGACCAGGCTGGCCTTGAACTCACAGAGATCCTCCTGTCTCTGCCTCCTAAGTGCTGAAATTAAAGGCATGCGCCACCATATCTGGCCTTATGTTTGATTTTGTAATTTTAGTTTCTTCTCGTTCTTAGGTTTACAGCCTGTTGGTTTTGTTGATCATTAAATGACAAAAACAAAAAACTTTGGGCATTAGTTCTTTTTCCTGTTGTGTTTTCAATTTCATTTGTCTTTGCTGTAATCTTACTATTTTTGTCTTACTAGCATTGTTAGTTTGCTGTTTTTCTAAGATGTAGGTTTTGGTTGCTTGAGAACTTTGCCCTGTTGTTACTGCTGTCTTCAGTACTGGGGACTAAACTCAGCCTTGCTTCTGCTAGGCAGTGCCTTACCACTGAGCTGCATGCTGAACCCCCTTTTTACTATTTATTTTGAGATGGGATCTCACTAAGTTACTTAGACTGGTGGTGAGCTTATGCTGTAGTCCAGGTAGCCCTTAACAGTTGTGATCCTCTTGCCTCACTCAGCCTTCCAAGTAGCTGAGATTGCAGTCCTGTGCACCAGGCTCTGCTCTCTTTGTTCTTATATCTGTTTAAGACAGTTGTTTCTTCTCCTGACTAGTGATTTCCTTTGCTACATGGAAACTTTCTAGTTTCATGCAATCCCATTTGTCAGTTCTTGACATTTTTTCTTGAGCAGGTGGAGGCCTTTTCAGAAAGTCTTTGCCTGTGCCAGTTTATTGAAGTGTTTTAGCTATGTTTGCCTCTAGCAGTTTTTAATTTTTTGTGCAAGGTAAGAGACACAGATCTAGTGTTTTTCTTCTAGTTGTGAAAATCCATTTTCTAACACTATTTGCTAAAGAGGTTATCTTTTCACCAATGTATGTTTTTGATACCTTTGTAACAAAAATTAGGTGGTTATGGCTGTGGGGGTTTGTTTCTGGTTCCTTTTATTCTTTTCCATTGGTCTGTAGGTCTATTCTTGTGCCATTATAATGCTGTTTTTGTTCCGATGACTCTGTAGTATAATTTGAGATTATTATTGCTTGTTCTGCTTAGGATTGCTTTGGCTATAGTGGGTCTTTTGTGCTACCTGAAATGAAATAAGAATTTTAGGAATGCTTTTTTCCTAGAAACAAGAAAAATGCCATAAATAATGAACATTTAAAAATTCAAAATATTTCATTGTAAAAATCATTCACTTCCTTGGCTAGGTTTATTCTGAGGATTCCATCTCACCTCAGTCAGAACAGCAGTCATTAAGAAAACAAATAATAGGGGCTGGAGAGGTGACTCCAAGGTTAAGAGCACTTACTGCTCTTGCATAGTATCTAAGTCCTAGCATTTAGGGTTGGGCAGCTCACAACTGCTTGTAACTCCAGCTCCAAGGTATCCAATAACCTCTGGCACTTGCATTCACATGCATAAAACCCCTTCCATATACACATAATTAAGAACAGTTAAACATATACACATAATTAAAAATTGTTAAAAAAGAAAAGAAAAGCACTGGTGGGACAGTGAGTGCAGCTGCTGTGGAAATCAGTGTGGAGTTCTCAGAAAACTGAAAATAGCCCTCCTGCATTACCTAGCCACAGCACCACTCCTGGTACTTAGCAGCATATGGATGAGATACCTGCACACGATTGTGGCAGCACCATTCAAAATAGCTAAGGTGTGGAATCAATCCAGATGTTTGTCAGCAGAGGAATGGATGAAGAAAATGTGTATATGCACAGTAGAATGTTATTCAGCCATAGAGGAACAGAGTTATATCATTTTTACAAAAATGAATGGCTGGAGATTTACCATATTAAATCAATTATGTTGGGACTTACATACTAATATCATGTTTTCTCTCACCTGTAGATTCTAGATTGTGTATGGGTACATGGAATCGTGTGTATATGACAGGAAAGGAGAAGCAGAACTGTCCTAGGGAACAGGACTAACAGGAGGGCATGGGGGGAGGAGAGGGAGAGAGAGAAGGAAGGGGCAGAGGAGGGGGAGGGGGTGGTAGTAGATTTGACTGGGAAGATGTGGACAAAGTACATTATATACTTGTATGAAAATGTCCTTCTAAAACCCAGTACACTGAATATATACCGGTTGTTTATTTGTTTTGAGACAAGGTCTCACTGTGTATCCCAGGCTGGCCTTGAACTCTTAGAGATCTGCCTGCCTCTGCCTCCCAACTGCTGGGATTAAAAGCATGCACCACCATGCCCGGCATATACCAATTTTTAAAAATAATATTTTTGCTTCTTTATACTTTTTCAAGTTTTGTGACCAAGATACTGCCAAGAATTTGTTACTTGTGTTGCTCTTTCTATTTTTATATTTTTAAAGTATCAAGCATTGTTTCCTCTCTTAAGTGTCCAAATAAATACATTTCTTAGCATGCTTTCTTAGAAGTCTTTGAATTTAATTGTAAGGCATCTGTGATAGGCTAAATCTGTGCAATATCTACCAGTTGCCTTAATTGAGTGAAATCCTCTTCCTATCTTGAATTTTATTTTTAAACTACAAAAGCAAAATGCACAGGATTTCATATTGTTTATGCCAGTGCTTTTGCATAAAGGGTCATAGTGTTTCTTTAGAACCAGTAAGATGAGATTATGTGGAATGTAGGGCTTTGGTTGGATGGCTGGTTGGTGATTGGAAAGGAATTTCATACTTAGGTTTTCCTTGGACTGTGTAATCAGCACTGTCCTTTCATTAGTGGTTACTTGTTCTAAGTCCTTTATTGCTCTAGCTCAACCTACCAAGCGTTTTTTTATATGTGTCTGTGTATGTGTATAGCTTTCTGTCTTTGGCACACAGGAAGACTAGGTATAATGCATACTTTGAATGCTTTTTTTTTTATCTTTTTGAGACAGTGTCTCTCTGTAGCCACAGCTGGCCTGTATTCACTATGGAGACCAGGCTGCCCTGGACCCTCCCAGAGATTCGCCTGGCTCTGCCTCCCAAATGCTGGGACTAAAGGTGTGCGCCACCACGCCCAGCTTGAATGTACATTTTTATCCAATTTGTATCTTTACTGGATGCCAGAAGTCATCCCAAGGGTGTACTTGTAAGTTGGTCACATTTTCTTTTTATTTTGAACTTGTACTTTTTAGAAAGCATTTAGCATGTTAGGGTGTTGTTATCTTAGTTGTAGGTAATTGAATTAATTATGCAAGATCTTATGTAAACTTCTTTTCAAACTTGTTTGGCTAATGTTTCTCTCTGGCAAGTAGAGTAGCCTACACATTATTTTTGATACTGTCTAAAGACATGTGGGCAGTTACTGTTCATTTAGGCCATGTGGCATTTGCCAACTTCTTTTCCTGGAAAGGAGAGGATATGATGCAACTTGCCTTATTTGATTTCTTATGAAGCTCTTAACCATCATTGAATGGTTACAAATGAAAATTTATTGGGCTGGAGAGATGGCTCAGCAGTTAGAGCACTGGCTGCTCTTGCAGAAAACCAGGGTTGAATCCCAGCACCCACTATGGTAGTTAACAACTGCCTGTAACTCCAGTTCCAGGGCATCTTGCACCTTCTTCTGTACTCCGCAGGCTTTGCATGACATGGGTGCATTTACACACGTGCAGGCAATATACTTGTACACATAAAAATAAATCATGTTACGTGTTACTGAGATTATAAATAAAATATGAAATCTATGTTATGAAGAATATAGGGGAGGGACTTGACACAAACAGTTCTTTTCCTAGTCTTCCTCTGAGAATGGTCAATCAGAATTTAATGAATCAGACAGTCTAGAGACTATAATATTCCTTAGTCTTATATTTTAATTTCGCTTTAATTTCTGAAGTGCATAAGAGTAATTACAACATAAATGCATATGTCTATGTAAACTGTGACTTTCAGAAATCACATAAAGAAGTTAACAGATTTAGTAATGACTAAATTTTTTATCGTTGGTACTCAGAATGAATAATATATTTTTTTATTTTATTATTTTTTATTTTATATGTATTCATGTATTGCCTGCATGTAGGTAAGTGCACCCCTGTCATGCAATGCCCACGGAGGTCAGAAGAGGCTGTTAGATCCCCTGGGACTGGAGTTACAGACAGTTGTTAGAGTTGTTAGCTGCCATGTGGGTGCTGGGATTCAAACCTGGGTCCTCTGCAAGAACAACCAGTGTTCTTAACCACTGAGCCATCTCTTCAGCCCCGAATGAATAATATTTTTATATTCAGAATGAAAATTATTTCATGTCCACAAATCCTCCTCTCTTATCTTTGTGTAAAACATGTGGAATACTCTCTTAATTTGGCTTGCTTTTGAGAGCAGTTCTGATCATCTCATATTTTATCTAATAGCACTTACCCCATTCATATCTTGCCAGCCCCAGTAGACAACATTCTTCACAGTCGTGTGTGGAGTCCCTGAAAGCAGTCATGATCCACAGTCAGCTAAAAATACTCTTTTCTGTATTAGCACTTTAATTCTAGTTCTTCAGTTTTCAGTATGCACAGCCATCACCTTAAATTGGGTTTAATTTTTTTTCTTTTTGGAAATACAGGTAGGTATTTGAATTCTAAACATTTTGTTTTCCATTTATCCTGATCAAATCCTGGGCTGCTGTTATTGTCACTTTTTCTTCTATCTTCATATCTAGAATTCTCAGAATTTATGCATTTGATAAGGAGCTTTCTGTTTTGATTTTTCTCTATAATGCATTATAAAATTATATTTTACGAGGCTGGAGAGATGACTCAGTGCTCAAGAGTATACTGTTCTTGCCAAGGACCTGAGTTCAGTTCCCAACACTCACATTGGGCAGCTCATAGCTGCCTGTAACTCCAGCTCCAGGGAATCTGACATCTCTGGTCTCTGCAGGCACTGTAGTGTCACACACACACACGTACAGGTAATTAAAAGTAAATTGAATCTTTAAAAAATTACGTTTTACTGAATGACTTATCAAAATTTTCATTTCCTTAAGGTGTTGACTTTAAAGTGAAAACGATTTCAGTGGATGGAAATAAGGCTAAACTTGCAATATGGGTAAGAGTTTTAAATGTCTTCTTATAAATGTTAAACTTCTACTTTTTATTTAGTGTTTTAAAGATGAATGAACAACTTGTATTAAATAACTTTACTACTTGTATGTAGTAGCTTTTCTTGGGAGATTTGATATTACTTAACGCTTATGTAGTAAATACACTGGGTAATTAGGTAAAGGCTTTTTTTACTTGAAATTTTGAAATACATAATCCCTTTAGAGTATTTCCAATAGAGTATTAAAATTTTTGCAATCTGCCAGAGGTCATTGTTATTGGATACATTGCATCATAGTTAAAAAGAGCATTTAGACTGAACCAACACTAACGATAGTTGTTAAGGGGAAAAAAAATGAGGGGAAAAATTATTTCCCCTGTCTGTTGTTACAGGTACTTATAAAATTTGAGTGGATTTTTGGATTAACTCTACCATTGTGATGTACACTGTGATCAGCATTGCTTGCTAACATGACTGTTTCATACTGTGGGAAAAACATCCAAGAGAATGAATATCTATTTGCACCTGTCAGTCTCCAGGTGTGATTGCTAATACATAAATATTATTTTGCCTGTTTTGGTAAAATGTGTTATTTCTAAAATGCCATGAATAAATGCATATGTATATTTTATAACATGATAAGTAGTAAAACTGATTGAGACATACTTATGGTCAGTGCTGCCTCAGTGACAGTCATAGAGTGAAACAGCAAGTGTGATGTCACTAGTGTTTTCTGAAATGTTAGCCTATTTGCCCCTCTCCGAAGTATATTTAGTATCAGTGAAAACAATAACGCTGAACAGAAAACGTTCTGGAAAATGTTGGACTAGACATAGTAAAATATAGTGAACTATTTAGGAATCTTCGGCATGTGTACTGAAGCAGAGCTTGACTTTCCATGTTTTTTCTGTCTAGTTTGTTTCTCCTTTCTGCCCTCACTATGCTTTGGGAAGTGTGCAGATTGGAGTAGTATCTGACCCTAGCTGACGGCAGTAGGAGTGTTCTCTCTACAGGACAGGAGGGTAGTTTTTGGTTTTGCTTGTGCTAAATTTACTGTCTACTACCTGCTTAGTGAAAAGGCTGGCAGGTATTTTTGAAGAGCTGTCTTTGTCCTAGGTGTATAAATAGTTTTTTTTTTTTTTTTTTTTTTGGTCTTTTTGAGACAGGGTCTCCCTTGTAGCCCCAGCTGTCCTGGAACTCACTATGTAGACCAGGTTGGCCTTGAACTCACAGAGATCCGCCTGCTTCTGCCTCCCAGGTACTGGGATTAAAGGCATTTTAAACATTGGTTTCCCACTATTTAAAATAAAAAATAGTTCTAGAACAATAATACCAGTTCATTCTAAAATGATAAGTAACACAGAAACTGTTACAGAAAGTTTATCTTTAGTATGTGCTTGTTAATAAACATGCTTTAAAATATCTAGTTGCATGTGTGTATATTACACATATGTATATATGCTATTTTCCAAAAGAAAGGAGCATATTTTAGGTTTTACCTTGCTTTCCTTCTCTTCCCACCTATCGGTTTCATGGTGTCCTTACTGTTCTGCTTCATGGCTGTATTTTAACCTCATCAACTCTTGGGCGAAAGTTTTTAACTGCTACCAGTTGTTCACAGAAATAAGCATTGTTCCAGTAAACACTGGTTTATACATCTGCATCTGCTTAAGCACCAGAACGTACACCTCGAAGCACAAATACTGCCTGAAAGAATGTGAAGACTTAATACTGATGCACCAAAAAGTCTTGTGTTTTACTCCCTGCAATCATATTTCACCAAATTTATTTTTGTATTCACTCTTCTAACACCCTAATCTATACTAAATGTTGTTATCCTTTCTCATTTATGTCTCTGTAATAGTTTTTACTTGTATTTGCATTTCTTAGTTTTTCGGATACTGATCATATTTATAAATGGATTTTTCTTTTTTAAAAAAATTTTTTTGATTTATGTATTTTTATTTTATGTGTGTGAGTACTATGCATGCATGTGTGTAAGTGCACCCCTGTTGTGTAGTGCCTTCGGAGGACAGATGAGGACGTCGGATCCCCTGGAACTGGAGTTAAGGATGGTTGTTAGCTGACATGTGGGTGCTGGGATTTGAACCTGGGTCTTCTGCAAGAACAGCCAGATCTCTTAACCCCTGAGCCATCTCTCAGGCCATAAATGGATTTTTCTTTTGCTATACTTGGCCAGTTTTTATATTATCACTCCTCTTTTCCATGTTTAAAATCTTTATATATAAATAAAAGCTTTTTGCTTGCTACATTTTTCTACTCTGTCATTTATCCTTAAAACCTGTCTTAAGATAAATATGTGTTTGTTCTTATGCATGTGTACAGCACTAATTCTCTGACACTATAGGCTTTTTTCCAGTTTGTCATATCACTGTCAAATCTTACTGAAGATGAGATGGGATGAGAAGGGAACCAATAGGGTACTCTGGCCACATAAAGCCTTTGTAGTATTCTATGATGGGATCGTTTGTTTCCTTCTAGGAATCCATAGTCTACTCTGACTCTGCTATGGTGTTATCTGTGTAAATACCTTGAGGCCCTCTCCCTTGTTAGCCTCATGCCCTGCCCCCACAGCCTCTGAAAGTGCATACTCATCATGACCCACACTGCGGCTTTCTACCCTTTCCTCACTTCCACTCCTAGCATTCTCTTACTTAGGCTTTCGGAATCTTTTTCAACCCTTGGTTTATCTATATCTATCTTCAGTAATCTCTTCTCTCCTTGCCTTACTCCATCAGAAAATAAAACCACAGCACACAGGCAAAAAGATCTGCCCCATTCATCTTGAAAAGATGCCATTACACTTGAAACTTATTCTGGTTTTGAAAACAAACATAAGGAAACATTTCATGTCTGACTATTAAGTATATAGTTATTGCATATACTAGTTGAAGCCTATGGCCCAGAGTTTTGGATTTTTCCCCTCGAAAATTATGTCAAAACACTTTTATAAATGAATCCAAAAATGTCAAGACTATAACATCTGATCTTAATTAAGTTTTCACATATAAATTGTCAAAATTCCATGTATTTTAACATTTTTAATATTTGCCTTTACTTTTAAAATATCAAATACTATTTTAATTATTGTAATTGGAATCGCAGTTCTGATTTTTATGTTGTGTATCATTAAGACAGTTTTTGCTTTTCAGTATTGGGGATAAATAAGGCATTTTATATGTATTATGCATGATATGTACACTTTGGGACAGAATCTTACCAAGTTGTCCAAGCTGGCCTTAAATTTGCTATTTAGCCCAGGCAGACTTCAATCTTCCAATCTTCCTGCCTTGGTCTCCCAGTTAACTGGGATTTTAGATCTGTGTGTGCCACTAAGGCAACTTTTGTTATGTATGTATTTATTTATTTACTTATTTATTTAGTGTGTGGATGAGTGAGGGTACACCTGTGCCGTGGCACACATGTGAATGTCAGAGGATAACTTCTCAGAGTAGTTTCTCTCCACCATGAGTTCCAGGATTCTCAGTCTTGCAAGGGCAAGCTCTTTTACTTTCTGAACTGTCTCACCAACCCTAAGGCAATATCTGAAGTTGATAAGTCTAAAAATTAATTTACTAAGATTATGGAAATAGGTTAGAGAGATTGCTCAGTGGTTAAGAGCATTTGCTGTCTTGCAGAGGACCTGAGTTCCCAGCACCAGTGCTGGGCTTACAGCTGCCTGTAGCTCTAGCTGCAGGAGATTGAACACCCTCTTCTGACCTCCATGGGCATTACACTCACATGCACATACTACCCACTCACAGATATGCACATTAGACATAATTAAAAATAATAAAAATAAACCTGTAAAAGTAAACTTATGAAAAAGCTTAAATATGCAAATAAAGTTACATTATGCAAATAAAAGGACTTTTTTCTTATGACAAAGAGGTGTGTTGGGACTAAGTTGTTTCAGATTGGGTCCTTGCTCCAAGTTATTTGTTGCGAGGACGGAACAGTGTTCCCTGTGTGGAAAAACAGCTAATTCTTTAATTTCCAATTTTTCTGTTCCACAACTAATTTTACCATTGGATTTTGGAATAAATAGCTTTTCTTTCTTTTCCTTTTCTTGCTCTTAAAAAAAAATCTGGCATTCAGAATGCTTCTCCTGGTAGAGTCTGAAAGCTAGTGTTGTGGACTCTGAGTGATTTGTATGCTGCCAATTTATCATATCTTTGCATGTAAATGAATTGCTAGAGTGTGTTTCTCATGCAGTATAATTTTTCTGTTTTTTATGAGTCGGATTTTCTCAAATAGATGCAGGTCTAAGTCTGTAACCACATGATAATATATATTTTCTTAGTTTCTGATGAAATTGAATTCATGTGTGATTAAAACCTTAAATCTAAAATGTCAGAGAACCTTTATCTAGATGCATTATATATATAGGTTGATAGCCAGTTGCTTTCTAAAGTGATGGCACATCTAAACATTCAAGTCATATCATTGTGGTTTCAAGTCGATTTATTTTTCTGCAGACTTGAGTGTTGATCACTTCATCATAATCTGGTTATTAAAATACTGACCTATGTCATTATCAATTATAATCTGCTGTATGTAGTGCATTTTTATGTAGCTTTTTGGTTTTTTTTATGTTAAGTATATATGCAAATTGAATGATTTTACGTGAGAGTGAGGTTTTTAAAGAAATTTTGAAGCCAAAATATTTGAGAGGAAGGAATCATTTTTAAATCACAAACTTACTGTTTGGAAAGTTTAATTATGTTATGTCTTCACTTGAACATAGCATGATTGTGGTTAGTTTCCATGCTGTTAAGAATCTGGGAACAAGGACTTTGTATGCTTACATATCTGTGAAAGAATGGTTATAACCAATGTTCAAAGCTGTTTATATTGAAAGCTATTTTCCTCTTTAAGTTTTTCTTCTGGGACTGTGCATTTCCTCAAATTCTCTCAGTTGTCTTGTGGCATTTCTCTTAGGCCAAGCAAAGAAACTCCATTTTGTTGTTTTAGAATTCTTCAGTCTTACAAACTTCTTAAAGAGTCATTCACACTTTCTATGTCTGTAGGAACTTCTACTGTCCCATAGCAAAATGTGTTTTTTTTTGGGGGGGGGGTCTTTTTGTGTTTGTTTGTTTGTTTGTTTTCTTTGTGTTTTTTTTTTTTCTTTGAGACAGGGTCTCCCTGTAGCTCCAGCTGTCCTGGAACTCACTATGTAGACCAGGCTGGCCTCGAACTCACAGCGATCCGCCTGCCTCTGCCTCCCGAGTGCTGGGATTAAAGGCATGCACCACCATGCCTGGCGCAAAACGTGGTTTTGTACAATAATACTTACTGAGAGCTAAGATGAAGTTTGATGTGTGTCTTTTCATCAACAGACTGCAAGACCTTTTCTTTTTTTCTTTTTCTTTTTCTTTATGGTCTTTTTGAGACAGGGTCTTCCTGTAGCCCCAGCTGTCCTAGAACTCACCATGTAGACCAGACTGACCTTGATCTCATAGAGAGCCTACTGCCTCTGCCTTCAGAGTGCTGGAATTAAAGGTGTGTGCCACCACACCTGGCTGCAAGACCTTTTCTTAAAGTGCCAGATAGTAAATATTTAGTCCAACTCCCAACTGGGCCTTATGGTGATATATAAACGTATGGGCCTGGCTGTTTTAAAAACTTTATTTACTAAATTCTTTTATAATAAAACAGGTGGTAATGGGATGAAGCAGCAGCTTGCCAAACCATGCTTTGTAAGGTCCTGAGTTCCTAGAAGTGCAGCACAGTGAGGGAGCCCTCCATCCCTCCTTTCCTCCCTTCCTCCTCCTCCTCCCCTTCCTCCTCCTCCTCCTCCTCCTCCTCTCTTTCCTCCTCCCCTTCTGTCCTCCCCTTCTTGTATTACGTAGTGGTTTTATGTATTTTCCTAGAAGAAAATACATAGAATCCCTTTTTAAAAACCAACTTTAAAATCCCTCTCCTATAACAACTCCCTGATTACTCTTTAAACCAGTGGTCCTTGGCTTCAGTTCTTCATTAGAATAACCTATGAAGATTCTTTTAAAAATTCCTGTTCCTAATTAAGTCAGAATCTTCAAGGATTGGACACAAAGATTCCCAGCTGATTTGGTGTGTCGCTGAAGTTTAGAATCATGACTTTCAAAGAAGTGGTTTTCATGTATGATAAAAATCTTTTAAGTCCATGACAGAGTACATTTACTTGGTTGCATTTTTCTAGACATGACCCAGTGTTCATTTATTTTATTTTTGTAACACTTACCAGAAAACACACATCTAGCTCCGGATGGTTTTAATACTATTTGACTTTCTTCTCTTAAATGAGTTCATTGAACTAACGTTTTTTCTGCTTTGCTTTACTTAATAATAATTGTTACTTTCAGGATACAGCTGGTCAAGAGAGGTTTAGAACATTAACTCCTAGCTATTATAGAGGTGCGCAAGGTGTTATATTAGGTAAGTTTTTCCTTTAACATACTGTTTAAAGTGTTATTTATTGGAATTTATAATTTTCATAATATAAGAAAATTAATATTTTAATTTTCTTTAGGGCTACATTGGCATATATGTGTACATACATTTAAAGTTGTGACTACAATTTAGTATGAATGAATACTAAAACTTAATTTTCAACTCTTTGCCTAGAAATTTAAAAATAAAGATAAGACTATTTTTTATCTTTGGCTTTTAAAATTTTTTATTACTTTTATTATATGTGTATGAGTGTATTGTGTAAGTGCACCCATGTTATGCAGTGCCTGCGGAAGTCAGAAGATTGTGTCATATCCCCTGGATCTGGAGTTACAACTGGTTTTAGCTGTAACTGAGTGCTGGGAATCAAACCTGGGTCCTCTGCAAGAACAGCCAGTGCTCTTAACCACTGAGCCATTTTTCCAGCCCAGCCTCTTATCTTTGGTTTTAAAAAGCCATGTTTTTGAGGTTATAAACTGAGAATTAACCCGCATATGTTCTTCTGTCTTGAAGTATTACCAAAACCTGTTTTCATCAGTGAATTAATATTTGCTTCAGTCTTTAAACAAAGAGAGTGTTTGTTATCGAGTAGAATCTGCTTTATCAGTTTTGTTTATATAAAAGTAGCACTCTTTAACATTAAAGGTTTATAGTCAAATGAAACTTGGAAGCCAAATGTGAACTCCTGGCATGAAGTGCTGAGACATTCATAGTCACTCTCCCATTTTGGTTGAGCATCTCCTAAGTCTAGCAAACAATTTAAATGCTGGCCTTTATGTGCAAGGTGACACAAGATGAAAGTGATAACAGAAAGATCCCATCCACTCACTAATAACTGGATCCCATCCACTCACTAATGACACTCATTTTTTTTTTAAGTTGCAAATTCTGGTCCTTGTAATAAATTTAAGAGAGTCATGGGTGGTTTTAGTTATGTAATTTTTGGTATCTTATTAAGATTTGGATCAAAGCATTGTCTTTGGACAGACCTCTCCTTATTATCAGGCTGCTGTTTACTATAACTAGTTTCACTTGTCACATAGGATATAATTTCCTTTTTATTGCTACCTTGTCAGTAAGATTGAAATTTGACTCATGTGCTTTTTAAACACTCATTGTTAAGCCTTGAAGGCTTAATAGAAAACGGACTTCTTCTAGTGCAGATCAGAAGTCTATCTGCTTCTTATTTTGTATTCTTTTAAAATTAATCACTTTGCTTCTATTTCAGTTTATGACGTCACGAGAAGAGACACCTTTGTTAAACTGGATAATTGGTTAAATGAATTAGAAACATACTGTACAAGAAATGACATAGTAAACATGCTTGTTGGAAATAAAATTGATAAGGTAAAAAGGCATCCACTTGGTGTTTAGACAGCTCTTTTTGTGGGGAGGTGGGACTAGTAAATAAGATGTGATCTCAACACTTCCTGCATGCTGGACACATGTTCTACCACTGAGCTAAATCTCAACCCTTTTTCTTTTTATTTTGAGTGGTCTTGCTAAGTTGCCTAGGCTGGTCCTCTTCTTTTGGCCTCCCTGGTAGTTCGGATTATAGTTGAGCATGCACAGGTGGCAGCTTTTGAAAATCACTGCCTTTGTCTTTTAGGAGAATCGTGAAGTTGACAGAAATGAAGGCTTGAAATTTGCACGAAAGCATTCCATGTTATTCATAGGTAAGTGTGTAAGTGACTCCTTCCAATTCTAAGGAAGGATTTTAAAAATATTTTATTTTTATTTTATGTGTATGAGTGTATTGTCTTCATATATGTAAGTGCACCCATATTGTGCAATGTCCATGGGGTTAGAAGAGGGGATCCCCTGAAACTGGAGTTATGGGTGGTTGTTAGCCGCTATGTGGGTGCTGGGAAACCTGGGTCCTCCACACGAACACCCAGTACTCCCAACCACTGAGCCATCTCTCCAGCCCCAAAGGAAGAATTTTTAAATGGAATTTTTGCAGAATTATTTCCTTAGAAACCATAAGATATATTCAGTTCATAGTCGTCTTGTGCCACAAATATCTAATCGTAGAATGAGATTCTTCTTCCTTTAGTAGAAATAAAATAGGTTCATGTTATACATGAAATCACAGACTACAATTGAATCATTCCCCTTAGCATAGCATGGCATTCAGTGAAGTTGGCACCCAGTTTTGAAGTTGTGGTATGTTGATCCATATGCTGAAAGTATCAACACCATCTGGGAGTTGGTTCTTAATAGAAATGCCTTCTCCCAGGCCCTACTCCCAGGCACTGTATTAGTTACTTTTCTGTTGCTGTGATAAACACAATGACCAAAAGGAATTTATAAAGGGAAGGATTTATTTTGACTTACAGTTCCAAAGCTAGAGTCCATAATGGCAGGGGAGGCATGGCAGCAGGCTACAGGAGAAGGAATCTGAGTGATCACATCTCCAACAGCAAACAGGAAGTTGAGAAGTGAACTGGAAGTAAGACCAGGCTGTACATTCTCAAAGCTCACCCCCAATGATGTATTTTCTCCAGCAAGGCCATATCTCCTAAAGATTATATAAACTCCCCAAGCAGTGCTACCAACTGAGATCCAAGCGTTCACATACTTGAAACTCTGGGGGACACTGCTCATTCAAACCACTGTTCCTACACTTTTAGAATTGGAATCTGAATTTTAGCAGCGTTTTCATGTGGTTCCTGTGCACCTTAATATTTGAAGCACACGGTAGAGTGTGGATTGGCAAACTAAAGCATGTGTCAGTGCTACAAGACTCTCTCCCATTATTAAACATAGTTATGCTCATTACTCACTGCCTTTGGCTGCTTCCATGCTTCACCATAGTTCAGAAGTTACCACAAAGCCACCCACATAGTCCATAAAGCCTAAAATATTTATTCCCTGGCCCTTTACAGAAGTTTCCCAACCCTTCATAAGAAAAGTAGCCTGACTCTGCCTGAATCATCTGTGGATGTTTTTCAAAGTCTCTCTGCTGTCACAGGACTGAAAGAGTTCTTTTGAAGTACCTGAGCTTGTCTTGGAGAGATGGTTCAGCAGTTGTGCCTACTGCTCTTGCAGAGAGGCCCCAGGTTTGAGTCTTATCACTCATGCTATATAACCCACACCACCTGTAACTCCAGCTACTCAGGGATCTGACACCTCTGGCCTCTGAGGTCACTAGCATGCATGTGCACAGTACACATACACATACACATAATGAAAACCAAAAGTATCCAAGCTGATTTTGATCTGGAGGCAACTTTAGAAATTACTGATGACCTATTCCATGTTATTACCTATTCCATGTTATTACCTATCCCATGTTACTAAAAGCTACTAGGAACATATTGGAATTGCAAGAACATCCTAAATCAAAGCAGGATGGTTTATGTGAACAGTATGAATGTGTTCAGAAAAGAAGTAAATGTTGCCTTTGCTGTTTAGTTGCTACATTCTCACAGATTAGCTGATTCCATACTTTTTGGACATGGAGGATATAACATTCAATGAAACAGACAAACTCCCTGCCCTCGAGTGCATTCTACTATAGGAAAAGGTTAAGCAAGTAGGAGGAGGAGAAGAATGACTGGCATGGTAGACAAATAGGGAAAGTTCTCTGAAGTAATGTAGTTTGAGCAGAAATCTGTCAGTGAACATCTAGATGCCAAGAGAATGGCAAATATTTCTAGAAGTAAGAAGCAGCTTAGTGTGTTTAAGAAACAAGATGCTTGTGGGCTGGGCTGGAGGTTATCATGTATTTGGGGGAAAGAAGGCCAGTAGATGAGATTAAAAGGCCAGGTCAGACCTCTGGCATGGCAGTCAGAGCTGTATCCTGTGTTGGCAAAAAGCAGTGGAACGAAGCTGCTGTTTCTATTGCAGTAGCCCGGAGAAGGAAGCTGTACTTTGACCAGCAGTAGGGAGTAGAAAGTTGACAGTTCTAGGAGATACTGAATGTAAAACTGACAGGATATGTCAGTTGGGATTAGGGAGCTAAGGAAAGAGAATGATCAAAGACAGCTCCAAGCTTTTAGCATGAACAAATAAATAGGTGGATTGTACGCCAATAACTTGGAGTATGGACAATTGAGAATAAAGCACGTTAGGAGTAGGGAAGTGGGAATCAAGAAGTTTACTTAGATGTAGAATGAGACATTGTTCAGATACCCAGTAGACATGCTGGTCATTTAGGTGGCACAACAGGGGTGTGATTAAAGACTTCAAGAATGTGGATCCAAAGAAGAAGCTGAAGATTGAACCCTAGAGTACTCAATTGAGGGGTTAGCAGAAAGAGATGGATGAAAATAAGGCCGTGAGTGACATGCCAGCTAGACAAGATTACCAAGAATGCTCACTGCCCTGGAAGTCACAGGCGCAAGAGTTTTTAAGGAAAAGGGAACCTCTACACCTAGGGCTCAGGGACCATCACAGAAGAGGGGATGAAAAAATTATAAGATCCAGAGGAACAGGACACCTGCTGCTAGATAATGCATTCCAGACAGGATTGGGAAGCAATACCCATGAAATCTCCACAGTATGGTAGCCTAACAAGATCTGCATAATGACAAAACCAATGACATGCTGGTATAGATGGGGGAAATTTCACAGGGTCCCACCTCTAGATGAAAAGCTATAGGTAATCAGCGGATGCTGAGGGAGAGAGAATCAATTTTGTCTAGGGACTAGCTCCCTGAGAGATTATCTAATCCCAAGTGGGCAGCCCTGAATGCATATACACACAAGCACCACTAAATGAACTTGGTGCATTTTAATTATGATATATTATAAATGTATGTATATATGTGTGTATAAGAATAAAGAGGACAAGAAAGTGAGAGAAAGAGAGGGAGTAGGGGAGACGTTGGAGAAGTTGGAGGAGGGACTGGGGAGGTAGAAATGATGCAAATACAATATGCAAGTATGGGATTCTCAAAAATTAAAGTTTTTAATTTTTTATGTTTATGACTGTTTTGTCTGCATTGTATATTAGTGCACCTCATGTGTGTAAACCCACAGAGGCCAGAAGAGGGCACTGGATCTTATTGAACTGGAGTTATAGATGGTTGTTAACTGCCATGTAGGTGCTGGGAACTGAGCCCAGGTTCTCTGGAAGAACAGCCAGTGAGTGCTCTTAACTATGGAGCCATCGCCCCTGTGAAATTCTCAAAAAATTGGAAAATGTTATTAAAAATTTTAAAGTTATAAACAAAAGGAGATAAAAGACAAGGTTGGCATATAGGTTTAGAAAAGGAAGTGATTAGTAGTATCAAATTTCAAAGCTGTCAGGTACGGTTAGGAGGCTTGATTTCAGAGGAAAAGGATATTGGTGGTTGTGGAGGAAATGATCCTAATGGAGTGGTGGGGACAAAAGCACAGTCTGACCTTAACAGCCACACACAGTGTCCCTTCTAACAGTTCCAGTCACTGGTCAATTCTGGTCTGAAAATAGAGGAAGAGTTTTAGAAATAAACAACTCAGGATTCTAAGTGACTTTCATTATATTGTTACAATTATGTTACTGTAGTTGTTGTTGACCTCTTACTGTACCTAATTTAAAAGTTAAACTTTATCATAGAAAAAAACCTTAGTATACATAGGAGTGTCTTGGTACATATACCCCTTAGATGGGGTTGACTGCTGCCATTTGGATAAAGCATGTTATCCTAGACAGTGAAAGCAGTGTATGTAAACAACTCTCCAGAATGATGTCTCTATGCACAGTAGAGACACTAGGTGACTTCATGAAAGGTACGAGGACTCTAGGGCAAGTCTGTTTGTTTTGTTAATATGCTGGAAAATATTTGTCAGACAGTGAGGGTGATTGGTATGTTAGAGAAGAAAGAGTGCTTGATCTTTGAGTGAGAAAGGGTGGTATCAGGCAGCAGCTAGGGCAGCTCATCCATTGTCAAAGGAGTGAAGTCACATTATGACAGACCTTGCAGATTTAACATTGGGGTGCCCAGGGAGAACTTCCTGGAAGGCTTCAGTTCTTTAACGTGAAGCTGGCTCTGGGTCTGGGGGCCTAGCTCAGTGGTAGAGCACATGCTTATCATGCACAAAGCCCTGGGTTCAGTACTCAGTATTAAAGAAAATAAATCTAGATCAGCAGCTGAGAGACGAGTAAGAAGAAATCACCTCAGATGGTAAGAAAGGTAGGTAGTAGGGTTAGAGGGTTGCATCAGCATCAGTGAAATGGAGCCAGTGTGCCTGGGTGTTGGCATTTTATCCAGACACCTGTAACTGCTTAGTTGCCTGTTGAAAATGATCAAGTTGATCTGTTAACATGACATATAGATTTCCTTACTTTAAAAGAGGAGTAATATCTGCTTTGGGGCTCATTTTAAGAATTAACTGAAAACCTAAGGGACAAGAGCTTTACATAATGCTTGAGAAGGGCCTTATAAGTTACAATTCTATCACAAAGTTTAGAACTTACATGCCAATCTACTAATGGATAAAGCTTAAGTAACTCAGTTTGGAGGGTAGGAGGAAATTCACTAATGCAAAACCTGTGGGGAAAAATTACTAATTTGATTCTTAGTGTCTTGTAGGCTTCTATTTATGCTATAAAAACATGGGAATATGGCCAGAAAGGAATATAATCTTTTTCCTTGATTTTTAGAGGCAAGTGCAAAAACCTGTGATGGTGTTCAGTGTGCCTTTGAGGAACTTGTTGAAAAGATCATTCAGACTCCTGGACTGTGGGAAAGTGAGAACCAGAACAAAGGAGTCAAGCTGACACACAGGGAAGAAAGCCATGGAGGAGGAGCCTGTGGTGGTTACTGTTCTGTGTTATAAACTCTGGGAATCCCATCTCTTGCATATTTGATCAGATAGTCACATCTTTCTGTATATAAACTCTAACTGCTATTAGAGACCTTGCAGTTTGCACATAATTGTTTTATCACGGCAGTGAGTATTTGCAAGAAACCCCCTCATCGGCTTTCCCAGGTGAAATGTTAATGGTAAGCATGCACAGTTGGCAGTCTGTAGTTTTTTATGTAACGTAAAATAGGTGTACCTTCGTGAGTACATTGATTTTATGATCTGCATTTATCATGTCATTTTTTAAAACATCCATCTGTCTAGTGTGTGTTGCTACAGGTCTGCTTTTGGTTTCCTTTTTGCTTAAATTCTCTGATCAATTACTGAATTACTTGGTACGTAAAACGAGAACCATGGGGAGGTATCAGACATCATCAAACCTGTCCTGTTTCCTGAGGATAACAAAGCATGAGTCCACAGCTTTAGGATGTTGGAGATTCTTAGTACTAAGTCCAATTCTCAGAATAGAATGTAGCCCAGGCCAATACCTAATTAAATCTCTCTTTGTTCTGATGATACTTCCAAAATAGTATTGATATATTAAAGCTGTTGATATTTTAATTTGCTTCAGTGATTAGCTCTGTTAACTGGAGCTTTAATCCTGTGATGCGCACATTGGATTTATGATCCTTGTGCATTATTTTGGTTATATGGCATTTGGCAGAATGGCAGTAAGGTTTTCTCTCATTTTGGTTTCAGAAGATGTGAATGGTGTCTTTATTATAACTCCTTTAATAGTTCCACTTTTAAAACTAACATCTTTTTTTCATAAATGTTAGTAATGTTTGTCCAGGCACCTCAATTGTAGCTTATATAATGTTTATGACTGTATCTTATGGCTTCCATAAATGGCTAGTTGATATTAAAAAAACCAATTCCATATTTTGAGCAGTGGAGGAAAAAACACTAAATGACAATTTGAGAAAGGCATATTGCTTCCAGATTCCAACATGTGGGAAAATGCTGTTGCAATGCAAATGTTGATAATTACTGTAACAAGTAGCCAATAGTTTATTAAAACCAACCTGTACAGAATAATAAATCTTTTCCACAGTATTCAGTTTTCTAAGCTCTTGTTATGGTGCACTATGTGTGTTTTTCACTCACGTTACTTAATGTACATCGACCTTTGCTGTGTAAGCCCCAAATGAGTAAATAGTCTTAAGGGTAGTCACTGTAAATCCCTCACTAAGATTCTGATTTTAATTTTTGGCAGTTTATTCTCTCTGTACAAATGATAAACCTTTTTCTGTACCTTTGCAATATATGTGTTGATGGATTTACTTCTAATTGGATTCTTTCTGAACAGTATGTCGTCACATATGAAACCACATTGTAGTTCAGTGGTACTAGGTGGTCTACATTACATGTGATAAAAGGTTTTATACATTCTGTATATTTTTTATTAAATATAAAATTTTGCTTCTATAATGTTAGAAAAAGGTAGCAACATGTGTACTTATGATTTGGCCACGTTACATTAAATTTTAGATTTATGTGTGTTTTAAGTCTGTACCTACAAGGCTTTTCTTCTTATTTTTGCTCCATGAGTTATGTCTTCTTTGTTTGTATTGAATTATTGTCTCGATTTGGTCAGAATTCTGGTACATATGAATCACTTGAGTAAGACTTCTAAAAATTAATCCTAGGGGCCTGGGAAGATGGCTCAGATAAAGTACCTGCCTCACAGGAGTGAGGTCTAGAGTTCAGACCCCCAGAATCCACCTGAAATGCCAGGTAAGCATGGTAGCCACCTGTAATTCCAGCATTAGAAGGTGGAGGTAGGGGCTCAGGAGCAAGCTGGCTGGCTGGGTAGAGTAGTCACATTGGTGAGCTTTGGGTTCAGTTGAGAGGCTTGCTTTAAATAAAATGGTGGAGAGTGATTAAGGAAAATTCACAGTGTCAACCTTGGACCCTTGACATTCATGTGCACACAGACACACATACTCGTATACACTCGTGTGCCCATACACAAACATGCATATACCTACATACAAAAAAAATTAATTTTTGCCAGGTGTGGTTCCCTTTGCTTTTAATCCAAGCCCTTGGGAGGCAGAGGCAGGTGGATTTCTGTGAGATTGAGGCCAACCTGGTCCACATAGTCACTTCCAGGTGGGCTGGGGACTAGGGAGACCCTGTCAGGAAATTTTTTTCGATAGGTTTATCTTATAAGCTTTATAATTTTTAAATAAATACAGCTTGCTATTCCTAGATGGGTCTGTGCAGGAACTATACCTGCGCTCTTACTCTCATCAGCAAGAAAACGTGAATATAGTAATCTAATTCTTTAATGTGGCTTTTATTTCACTATTTTGTTGCCCAAATTAGTGTTTCATAGTGGAGGTTTTGTAAGTGATCACTTTAATAACTAAAATCAGATTCCCACATAACAGGATTTTGTTAAATCTTTTCAGATTTTTTTTTGTAATCTTAGCTTTTTGCAAATGGTGTTAGAACATAGTACTACTTTGAGTTCAAAGAGTACCAGCATAGGCTTTACTATAGTTTCCATTAATGAGTAGTAGCTACATTTATTGACACTTCCTGGTGCTTGGTATCTTAAGTACTAATTATCTTTTCTAAGCCTTATAGCAACATTATGATATGTATGTTTTGCCCATTTCATATTTTTCTTTTGTTTTTTTGGGACAGGGACTCCTTGTAGTCCTACCTGGCCTGAAACTCACCATATAGACCAGCCTGACCTCGATCTCACAGAGATCACCTGCCTCTGCCTCCCATGTGCTGAAACTAAAGGCATATGCCACCACACCCAGCCTCATTTCATTATTTTTTTTAGAGTTTGTTTTGTTGTAGTTTGTTTTATTGAGACAAAGTCTCTCCATGTGGCCCACACTGACCTTAGATTCCCCGCTTGAGCCTCCAGGGGATTGGGATTGTGGTATCCACTCTGTCAGGTTGTGTGATTTTATTTATTTATTTTTAAATATTTTATTTATTATTTTTATTTTAATGTGTATGCGTGTATTGTCTGCATGTAGGTAAGGGCACCCGTGTCAGTGTTGTGCAATGCGGAGGACAGAAGAGACTGTTGGATCCCCTGGAACTGGAGTTATGGACAGCTGTTAGCTGTCATGTGGGTGCTGGGATTTGAACCTGGGTCTTCTGCAAGAACAGTCAGTGTTCTTAACCACTGTGCTCTCTCTCCAGCCCCAGGTTGTGTGATTTTAATGAAGAGGATGATGAAACAGGTATGTGGCGGAACTTCAAAATCACACTGCACAGTAATGCACAGTAATGGAGCTGGATTCCAGTCAAGGTGTTTGCACTCTTGGACCCCAACTCTTGTTCTCTTACTGTGGTTAGTTACTAGCTCTTTAACAGAGCCGAACTAAGAGATCACCCGCATTGCATTAATTTACGTTCCCTTTGGCTTAAGTAATAGAAGTCTTTCAGATTTGTTGTTTGTAGAATAGATCCCACATACAGAAACCTATTCCAGGTTGACCTAAAGACTTAGGCAGTAGAGTAAGTGGTCTTTCAGTTCTTTCACTTTTCTGAGTGGAATAAAAGTCCCTGACTTAGGAAAGGTACAATGGTCAGGAACTTAAATGGCACCTGCACTCCCCATTTGTAATTAGTTGTAGAAAAAGAAATTCCACGTAGAAGGAATCATTTACTTAAAATCGAGATATGGGGTGGGGTGGGGTGGGGTGGGGGTTTATTTCAAGAACTTAATTGCCTTCCATGGGCTTATACTTTATTGACATTGCATTTAAATGCAGTGGTTAGACTTGATTGTGGTTTGCACACTCAAGAATCACACTGTGCCTCCTTGATGTGAAACCAATGACCATACTCCCTCTTACAACAGTATTTACTGCCTTGTGATAGCACAGGCTTGCTCATATCCACAGTAGCTTTTAAGAATAGTTGAAGTATGTGTTTTTTCCTATGTGTTTTCTAAGTGACTTGGGAAAAAATCCTTAGGTATTATGGTTTAGCAGTCTCATTATTCAGGTATTAGGCTTCTATTAATATTTATTGGGGCCCATTAATTAGTAATACTTGGGAAGAATTTTGCCTGCATATTTTTCCTAGCTAGATATATGAAGTAAAAACATTGAATTCATTTTCAAAGAGACGTCTTTGTTTTTGCTTTTGTTTTTTCCCTTGAGACCAGTCTCACGTAGCCTAGGCCCTTCTGCCTCTACAGGTATGTGCCATCATACCTGGTTTATGCAGTGCTGGGGCTCAAATCCAGGGTTTCATGCTAGGCAAGAATTTTACCAAATGGTTTATGCAGTGCTGGGGATCAAACCCAGGGTTTCATGCTAAGCAAGAATTTTACCAACTGAGCTATAGTGCTGACCCCCAAGAGACATTTTTCCATTTATTCATTTGTGTGTGTGTGTGTGTGTGTGTGTGTGTGTGTGTGTACAACATGTACATGCGCCACGGTACACATGGAGGTCAGTTCTTTCCTTTTCCCATGTAGGTTCCAGGGATCAAACTCATGTCAGGCTTGGTGGTAAGCACCTTTATGAGCCGAACTGTCTCTCCAGCCCTAGAGACATTTTATTGAAGGCTTCACCTTCATAGCTTCAGGCAGTGGCCTTGCAGAGCCTTTACACAGAAACTTCCCTGCTACATGCTGCCTGGCCTCAGCAGGTCTCTGAAACTGGGGAAGAAAAACTGATGACACCCCCCCCTTGTATCTTTCATGCTTCTAAAGCCAGCACCACACCAATGACACTACCAGGTTTGAATATCAGCCAGGTTTTGACTCATCATCCACATTACCAGCGGCTTTGTTGGTTGCGGTTTTCCTAGGGATAGAAAACTCCTTAGGCCTTTTCCTTTCAAAAGGAAGCTTGGTGGGTGGGGTCTTGCCCTGAGGGTACTCCTTCTATTGTACAAGAGAAAATCTGGAGGCCTCTCCTTAATGACTAATCTCCTTATGCTAGAGAGCCTGTCAGTACATGCCTTGGCTCAAACATTAAACTTCCTAGTCTCTCCACATTGTACATTCCATATTCCCTTTTACCCCATTAGCTTGTTTTCATTGTAGATCTGCATAATATTCACCATTAATAACCACACCACCTATTCAGTGTTAGGCTGTCATGAGATTTCCTCCACCAAAGAAATTAGTCCATTACTTTTTATTTTAGCCTCGCAGGCTCTCAGACTGTAGGCAGACGGCAGCCAAATGCTTTGCCAAAATATCCCAGTTGCTGTTTAAGTCCTTGTTTCCATCTCTGGAACATCTCGAGCCAGTTCTCTACCAGCATGATCCATTAAGCTCTGATTACAGCCTTCAACTGCTTTTCTAGTCCAAACTAGCAATCCAACTAGCAGTGTCTTCCATAGTCCTGTAAATAACAGGGTCAGGCTATTCACAGCAACACTCCATTCTCAGTACCAGCTTCTGTGTTAGTTAACTTTTCTGTTGCTGTGCTAAAACACTATGCCCAAGGCAACTTAGAGAAGGAAGAATTTATTGAGTTTATGGTTCAGAGGGATAAGTCCATCATGGAAGGGAGGCATGGCAGTAGCGGTGGCTGGAGCAGCAGGCCAAGCATCTTCAAGCAGGCACAGGAAGCAGAGGGAGACAGACTGGAAGTGGGTGTGGCTGTACTCTCAAAGCCCGTCCCCAGTGTTGTGCTTCCTCCAGCAAGGTTGCACCTCCTAAAACTTCCCAAATCAGTGCCACCAACTGGGGATAGAAATGTTCAAATATGGGGCTGGAGAGGGCTCAGCGGTTAAGAACACTGGTTATTCTGCAGAAGACCCAGGTTTGAATCCCAGCACCCACATGGCAGCTAACAACTATCTGTAACTCCATTCCCAGGGGATCTGACAACCTCTTCTGTCCTCTGTGGACATAGCATGACACAGCTGCACTTACCTACATGCAGGCAATACATACATACACATAAAAAAATAAAACATAAAAAAAAAGTTTAAAAAAAAATGTTCAAATACTTGGAGCCTATGGGGGACACTTAAAGCACCACTGGCTCCAGTGCGAACTGGAACCTCTGCATCAAGCTGGATCTGAAGTTAGGTTTCTAGACTGGTTTATGTGA